ATTTGACCACTTAAAAATGTCTATATCAGACTGAGAGAAAAAGTGTCAAATGGTGGCACAGAATTTTTTTTCATTTCCTTGATGTTTGTGTAGTTAATTCATTCATATTGTGTAAACAGTTACCCGCAGAGTGAGAACATTTAAAATCTCTAAAATTGTTTAAAATGTATATAGCTGGAAATTTACTGAATATGAGTTCTATAAAGAGAAAAAAAATACCAGAGTCCTGTACATGTAAAGTAATAGTAAAATTAATATAAGTTAATTTTACTAAGACATAGGTCATCAAATGAATTTTCAATATAATGTAATTTTTAAACAATGAAAATTTTAAGAAGAATGTTGCCCCTGAATATTTGTCTTGTTATTTATCATAACTGTGAGAGGAAAATTTTGTACTGATGTCCGAATTAAATTTTTCATTATTTTTCTTCTTTTTGTTTGTTTAAAGGTTCTTTGCTGTACAATTTTTTTATTAGCTGGTATGTTTACAGTTGGAGGTTCAAAGTGTGGTATACTCGTATTTATTGCAGATTTATAAATTTTCTCCATTTTAGTTACTTCATTAGGTGTTGTTATTGAGTTTAGTAAGCTTGTAAATTTATTCAGCAGTGCTATTTTTCTTTCTGCTAATGTCAAAGTTTGTGATGTACTTTGCATTAATTCATTTACTATTACTATATCATTTGTGTCGTCTATTATCAATGAAGGATCATTACAGGAATCATGAACTGTATCTGCTGGACTGTTTTTCTGCATCTGGCATAAATAATGAATATGCTTACACATATTCCACTTAATTGAAGAATCTATACATGTGCACATATATGTGTGTATGCATACATTACATTCAGTACACTTCAATTCACAGTTACCCTCACTGATCACTTTTTGTATGGTATACAAATCTAAATTGTTTTCTGATGAAATAATCCAGCCACTTTCATTTTGTATAATTTGTGATGACAGTGTTCTGGTTTTATATCTGTTTCTCAAGTCTCTAATTTTACTTGTCAATTTTCCTTTATTTGATGTAATGATTCTATCAAACATTTTATCCCTAATAAATTTCATAATTGCATGCACAGCCTTATCAAATCTTTTAACATTTTTTCCATGTAAATAAATATATGTACTTTAATGTTCGATGCATTCTTTCAATATGTATATTTGTATTTAATCCACAATGAACTCTGTGACAATAAGCCCAAGTAGTTGCATCTTTTAAATAATGTGTCGAAAAAATAATTAGCAAAATCAAGTGTATCGGGATCAGTTTTTCAAGTAATTTAACACAGCTTCTGCTGCAGTATTAAAACTCTGTATACACATTCTTGTAAAGAAGTGCGGAGAACTTGATACTCTTGGGCTTGTTTTTCTCTACCACCGATTTTTTTAAAATTCTTTCGCCATGCACGGTCAACATGCCATGCACAAAAGAAGGCGTTTTTCACGTGTGCCCATCTCTGAAACCTATACATTAAAAAAAGAATCAGCCATATCTGACATGAAAACTTTTGGTTGTAATGTGCCAATGCTTTGCTTGATTATTGAGAAGAATATAGACAAAACTGGTTGGTCACTTCGATTCGAAATTAAAAATGCACAAGGAAATCCTTCTCTTAAATTGTTGACAGTTAATAAAACTATAAAGCTCAAAGCCATATGCATTCATGCCATGAGTGCCATCTATACATACAGTTAGTCAATAAAGTCTGCGTACATCAAGAAAAGTAATATCAAATCCAAATTTATGGTGCGAAAAGGGTAGTTTCTTAAAGTTTTTTTTTTTTTTTTTTTTTATTTAGTTTCAATAAGGGACTTTGAAATTATTTAACTGTAATATTTTCATATCTAATAATTTATGCACACTAAATTTTAAAAGATAAGTGGTCAGAAATCAAAGCCAATAAAGTTTGCGTACAACGCGAAGGAGGCGGGGTGGGTATTTTTCTTATCTAACTTTTAAACTTCAAACTTGAGAATGCAAAGAAGGTTACACTTTCAAGGTCATTGACTTCCGAAGCAAATTTCACGTTGATTGGAAGTTGTTATTTCTATTTTCTTTGACGAAAATGACAACCAATAAAGAAATTCCTTTAGTTACGAGACAACTAATTATCAAATTGAGAGATGAAGATAAAACTCTTCGTTATATTGGTAAAACCATTGGAAAACCATTTTCTAGTGGGCAAAGAGTTATTCAAAACTATCTTGACACTGATAGTCTTGCTGTAAAACCAAGATGTGGGAGACCGAAGAAGCTAACGCAGAGGGAAAAAAAAAAAAATTCTTTTACGAATTAAACAAAATCCTAAACTTTCTGCTGCAAGCATTGCAAAAGACATTTTTTTAACTAGCAACAAGGAAATTTCTCCTGAAACTGTACGAAAAGTGCTGCGAAAGGCCGATTATCATGGACGCAAACCTAGGTCTAAGCCATACATTTCCGAGACAAATAGAAAGAAAAGAATTGCTTTTGCCAAAACATATTTAAACTCTTCGCAGGACTTCTAGAACAATGTAATTTGGTCAGATGAAAGTAAATTTACAATATTTAAAGTTAATGGCCACCCTATTGTATGGAGAAAAAAGAAAACCAGGAACAGAACTGAATCTGAGAAATTTAAATCCAACTGTCAAACATGGAGCTGGCGGTGTGTGTGTAATGGTATGGGGGTGTATGTCGTCGAAAGGAGATGGAAATTTTCACATTATTGATAAAGTCATGGATAAGTATGTTTATCTGGATATTCTGAAGAAAAATCTACGAGACAGTGCCCGAAATTTAAACCTTTCTAATACCTTTATTTTCCAACAAGACAACGACCCGAAACATAGAGCTAAAATTGTGAAGGAATATCTCCTCTATCACACTCCAAGACAATTGCGTACTCCTCCACAGTCACCAGACCTCAATCCAATCGAACATTTGTGGGCAAAATTGGAGAAACGAATTCGAAAAACACAATATTACATCGCGAAATGAGCTAATTAGTAAATTGCAGAAAGAAAGAATGGGCGAAATTTATGTCGGATGACACTTAAAAACTAGTTCAGTCAATGCCCAGACGTCTGCAGGCTGTTTTGAAGAATAAAGGATATCCTACAAAGTATTGAAGTAATGTAAAAAACTTATATTTTACTTTTTTTTTTTTTTTTTTTTTGAAAGTGTACGCAGACTTATTGGATGGAATTTCTGAGTTTTTTGAAAAAATTTAAAAAGTATTACACTGATATTATTTACTTTTTATTTAAGCTTACAATTTTAGCTAATAGAAGAAAAATATGCAATGATTAAAAAACATTTTTCTATGCTTTAAGTGTTTTTTTTAATTTAAAATTTAGTCTGTACACAGACTTTTGTAGCTAACTGTATGCAGTCTGAACTAAATTTTTTTAGCATTTCACTTTGTGATTATTGTCATCATATTTGTCATTATGATGAGAATAAAATCTTCATCGTTAAGGAATGTATGTGTTGGGGATATTACACCTTGTGCCTTATAATATAACACGCATGAAATCTGTGAACTAAGCATTTCATTCACCCACATGTCAACCCTCACATAGTCATTACTATGCTTTAGCCGACCAGCGGTCGAGCAGTAAAGTCGCTGAACACTGGTAGTTCGGTCCGAGGTTCGAATCCCGCGAATGAGCTGGCTGCATGGGCGTTTTCGTGGTTTTCCCCATGTGTAACGTGTATACGAGCCAGTTTCCCTTAGAAAGTCCTCCACAAAGGCATCCCTTCCCTTAGGCAGATAGCCCTCGTGTGCTTTGCCATAATTAAATACACCAACACCATTACTATGCTTTACTGCACTGGAAGCTAACTCAAAACTTCGTTCAATGTTTTGCAGATCTTTTTTTGTTATTAGATGCAATCGTTCGAGGCCAGAATCAGATATGGAATCGTGAATTTCATCCAAAATTGCATCAAATGGTACTTTAGCAGCTATTTTGATGCAATAAAGGTTCTATCCTTACTTGAAAGGAAAAGATGACCCATATCATTTTCATGGCCTACATGTGTTTTCTGGAAATATGCATAGTATTCCTCTCGTTTTGATTTGACCAATTTTATTTTCGCAGGAGGACAATAAGCATTAATTTTTTTACTGCCCAGTAGCTTTATGTGTCGCTTTCCAGAACTCTGTGAATGAAAATGCCCTGAACGGTGACATGTAAAATATGTAACTGTACCAGTGGCATTTGGTTTTCAGATACATGTATTATAAATTTCGACTTTATTTTCTAAATCATCTTTCCATTCAAGAAAAACTTTCATAGGATTCAAATTTTAATTCTGATGTTTCAAGTTTTACATCATGAACTTGTAAAAAGTGTTCATTTATCAACTCATTTTCAAAATCCCCTTTACACAAAGGACATTTATACTGTCTCTTAGTTGAAATGTGATCACCATTACAACTAGAGTCACATATTTTGAGTTTGGATGTTTCACATACTTTTAAATTTAGAGACTGCAATATGTGTTCATCCGTTGGATGGCATTTTATTACATGCCTTTTCAAATTAAATTTGGAAAAAAAGAATTTCCCACGTCCGCATGGAAACTTGTTTGATGTAATCATATCCGTAGAAATATCCGAATTAGTTTGATTTTTTTCATCAGATTGAACATTTGGCTCTGAAAAGGGCCCTTTATTAAAGTGATCATTTGGTCCTGAAAAGGACCGTTTTGTTTTAAAATGATCAGAGATGTTTGATCAAATTAGCTTGCAAAACACTCGACTACGAAAATTGCAATACGAGGATTTCCGTTCACTAGCTATTCTATCATTTGAGATCCCTCCCCACAACCGGAAATGACATACTGCGAGCGAAGAGAGTGTGGAACTCTGGGATAGATGAGAACCCAATATCTAGGCGCTTGTCAGATCTCCCATCGCAACGCGGGGGATGGCGCCCATGGTCGGAGGTTAGCCCTGTAAGCACGCAGTTCAATATTAAACGCAAATAATAAGTGATTTCTGAAGTTTCCTCATTTTGGAGAAGGCCGACTTTTTTTTTTAATTTTTTCCGTCGTTTATATAATAAGTTCTTTATTTGAATTTAGACTTTTTTTAAGAGTACATTTTGAAACACATGTATTTAGATCGATACAACTTTTTTATATGATACGATACCGGTGTTTATGAATTGTATTGCAAAACACGTGTGGTGCAGTTGGATATTTTTTAACAGATACATTTACTGGAAAATATTTTCTGAAAGTATGAGTAGTTTTACAAGTAGGGTTAATTTAGTGTGCGGTAAGAAAGAATGGTTTAGAGCACCTGAACACTATGATTTCTATCAAGAAATCGCAAGGTATACTTTGTTACATAGATTTTGTTTATGTGTCAAAATTTCATTTTCTGTTAATTTGATTTGTATTCATTGTATTCAGATCGATAATGTCAGAATAACAAAAATTCCATATATTATTTTTATACATAGACTCATTTATTTATTTCCTGAAGTAAACATCTACGAAAAGCCTGACCTGTTTTGAAGTTCTATCCGGCTTTACACTTGTCCATAACCATCCGTTATTGCAGCCCATTAATTGTGATTAACAGTGTTTGTTTATTTCTAGAATGCTGGGGATTTTATTGTATTTTAACCTTTGTATGTTACAGTTTAACTGAAATAAAGACCCATATTATGAGTGGTGAGATTCACAAATTTTAAGAGCCGGTTCGCTGGCTAAATAAGAATGAAATCAGTGGTCAAGTAATGATAAATTGCTTAATAAAATATTGAAATTCAATTTTAACATTGAACAATTAACTTGACGGAAGCAAGTTAATGCAACGGCGCCAACGGGTTCTTTCCGGAAGCGCCAATGGGTTCTCTGCGGATGAAAACCCAACTTGACGAACTTAAAATATTTATAAAGCAGTTCTGCCGAAGTGGATGAATTCCATCATTGCCTATAATTAATGAAACAAGATTATGCTATTTTGTTATTATTCCAGTTCAGTGAACTGGACAGTTTTTGATTTACTTTTAAGTTGTGATGCCTCAGCGTCATTTGTAGCTCAACAGTTAAAACTGCAAATAATGGTAGTTCTCCCTTTGTATTTTGGCACCAATAGCAGCAAGGCCCAGTTAAAAGACAGTGTAGGGCCTCAGGCTCAGAAGGTTTTAAAGTGGTTCCTGGATCAAATTCCTTGTTTATTTATTTTTATTTTTTTGAGGAAAATGAGATTCTTTCATGATTTACCACATGTCTAATATATAAGCAAGTAATTTTTCCTTTCTGACTATACCGTGAGAAATTAATCTTTGCTATGCTGTAATTTATAGCTGTCGTAATTAAAAATTAATATGCATCTGATGTCTAAGAAAATTTGATCGAAATCTCATTGCAACCATCTTTAAAACTGATATATGTATTTCTAAGAACATAATTAAATAAGGGTAACTGAATGTCATTGGTACAGTAAACTCATCTAGAGCACAGATTTGTGGAACATGATTTTGCATATACATATGCATTATCTTAATAGATTCCATTTAATTTGTCCAATGCTAGAATTTCATTCATATGCAATTCAACATTCATTTATCTGCACTGAATGCATGTGGGCATTGGCTAAGGCATAAAAAATTTTAAAGGATTACCAGCAACTGTAAATGAAGCTATAAAAATCACACAATTTGCAAAACCAGTTGCAGCAAGAATTTTCAGATATGGAAGGAGAACTCGAAGAATTAATCGAGAAAAGGTGAAAGAATTGGATAATCTTATAACACAGCTTCTTTATTTTGTTTTAACCCATTAGCCGCTGGTGTTGTGTTGACGCAATGGTCAAAATAAATGCGTATATAAATATAACTACCTAAGATATTTTATACCAGCAGATGATTTTGTGTAGGGAATATTATGAAGATTATTTCTTTAAAAAAATATTTGCCTTCAACAATCATTTTGTTTATAATAATTAATCTCATACTTTAAGCAAAATTTTGGACCGGGTATTTTTGCTGAAAATATTTAACGAAAGAATTGCCATCTTTATGAGTGATCTATTTTTAATCAAGGTCACCGTTTATCAGAACATTGCATCAGTCAGATGTTTATATTTGTGTTGGGTGTTGGTGTATTTAATTATGGCAAAGCACACGAGGGCTATCTGCCTAAAGGGAGGGGTGCCTTTCGTGGAGGACTTTCTAAGGGAAACTGGCTCGTATACACGTTACACATGGGGAAAACCACGAAAACGCCCATGCAGCCAGCCCGTTCGCGGGATTCGAACCTCAGACCGAACTACCAGTGTTCAGCGTCTTTACCGCTCGGCCGCTGGTGGGCATATTTGTGTTGGGAAGGAAGGGAAAACGGGCGTTGCGCTGACACGACTTCAGCAGGAAACGAGTAGTCAATCTCCTTTTTCACTCATTCTTGTTAATCTTTGGATTATGGTAACTTGGCTAAAATTTGGCGACCAACCCTGCTACAGCAACCTGCTAGTTTTTGTTTGGACGCCATTTTGTTTTCACAAAGTAAAGGCATTTTTTTTTTTTTTTTTTTACTCAACATTTTTTTCCAACAATCTGCTACCCGAATTACGCTTATGCTAGAACTTTTATGGAACAAAAGTGCTTAATCATGACGAAGATTAGGTGCGAAATTGGGAAAAAGTGTAGAATCGCCCACTGCTTGCCGCATTTTTAAGAATTGCACATACACGGTATCATCCATGTACATGTCGACCTATTTTCACTTAAAAAAAATCCCAGAATTGCACAAAAATGGCATTGCGCACACTCTTGACTTTATCCATGTACACTGCTAAAGTCCTAGCTAGTAACCTTTATCGCCTTACCAAAATGTTGCCAAACTACCTGTTACCATATTCCAAAGATTAGCCCTCATTTTTTTTCAATGTTCTGGTTATTTAAAAATGCCTAGAATGAGGTATCTTACATTAGAAGAAGCCCTTCAAAGATCTTTTGATGAAGAAACAGATGGTTATAATCTTAATAATGACCAGAATGAAACTGATATTGTTGTTGTTCCAAATGTTACCAAAATGTTGCCAAACTACCTGTTACCATATTCCAAAGCTTAGCCCTCATTTTTTTCAATGTTCTGGTTGTTTAAAAGTGCCTAGAATGAGGTATCTTACATTAGAAGAAGCCCTTCAAAGATCTTTTGATGAAGAAATAAATGGTTATAATGTTAATAATGACCAGAATGAAACTGATATTGTTGTTGTTCCCCCAGAAATTGCAGAGGCTAGTGACGAAGAAGAAAGGAATGGGATTGTTTTAAATAGTGAAAAATGATATTTTACCTAATGATACTGCTGAGGAAGTTGAAATTCACGTAAGAAGTAAGCTTCAGCCTTCTAAAAGCAGTTATAGTCATACTAAAAAGTTTAAAAAGCAGAAGACTGAAATCTTGAAGTGAATAAAAAAGGAACTGTTAGTTATGTCTCAGGAAGAACATGAAGAAAGAGATAGAAGAGAAATTATAAAAGACAAAACACAAGGTAAAACTAGTGCACAGATTTTCGATTTTCTTTTTGGTTTAGACATTTACTCTCTTCTTGTTGAACAGACAAATATATACACTCAGAAAAAAAAAAACATTGCTCAGAATTTATTGCATCTGAAGCCTATATGAGAAGATTTATTGGAATATTATTGTTTACAGGATATCATTCTTTACCTCAAGAAAAAAATTATTGGTCTTTTGATAAGAACATTTCTGTTCCTGTTGTACAAGAATCGATATCACGTTTGCAGTACAGGAATATGAAGCAGAATTTGCATTTGACAATAGTCAAATTGACAATACTGATAAATTATATGAGGTGAGACCGTATCTAAACTTACTAAATATCACCACTTTTTACTACTGGAAATATACTCTTTTATATTTCAGACGGGAGAATGCATTATTCCTTTTGAAAACTCCTATTGAGAGTGTAGAATTAGCCAGAAATAGATCAGCAACAGGAAGACCTAGTAAATTCAGCATTAAAAAACCATTGCATAGAGATGGTAGACATTTTATCGTAAAGTCCGTTGATAACAAAAGACTTTGTTGTGAAGAGTACCATAGCCAGACTGTTTACAGATGCAAAGTATGTAATGTAGCTTTACATCATGATTGTATTTAAGCATTTCATGCTTGAATCTTTCAATTGAAAAAAATCTGTATTTGTTAAAGAAATACAATGTTTATTTTAATATTAAATTAATTGCAAGTAAAGTGATTTGTAAATTTATAAAACGTTATACAGCTAAAAAGTAATCCTGCGTTCCACTCAAAAGAAACATTACACGAGTACAATCCTACTCTCTAAACATCCGTAGTCTTACACTCGCTTTTTCCACAGGTAAGAGCATTTTTTTTATTTTCAATGTAAATTTATGTTATAAATGCTTAATTTAATATTTGTTATTATTTTCATGAGAAAGAAACATTCCTTGTAGTTTTGGCGGTTAATGGGTTAAAAAAGGATCACATTTCGAAATTCTGTAATCAAACCACATTATGCTTTTTTTTATCCACCATTACAAACATTACAAAATCACATTCAGGCTCTTGAGACCTGGCTAATCAACTGGAAGATTTAAATTAATGCGAAGTCTACTGCTATTATTGCCACTAGGAAGAAGAAAAGTATTTGAAATGTTCACCTATGTGGAACTGCATTGCTTGAGCTAGATGCGTCATTTATCTCGGTTTGATTCAAACTTTCAGAGGTCCGAAGCACATAAAACATTTTGGCACCTGCATAATTTATGCCCTTTTTTTTTTATCCATTCCATCATCCTCGATCTTGGTTGGCATGCACCATATATTTATTCCATAGTAAAATCGACACCAGGAAATTTTAGTGGGCCTCCTTTCCTGAGTTTCTAAGGATCATTATATGATGCCCCTTTTCTTTGATGCCTAAGCATGTGCTTATTTTGCTTAATGGCTGATCCAGCTGTGAACAATGTTTTATCTATAGATAACAAGTTACTCATTTACTAACTGTTTACTAAGCTATGCCTAATTTGGGTCTTGTCTTATAAGACCAATCAGAAACAACTTCAAGTTATACAAAACTACATCCTCAGACCAATATCTAGATGTCAAACAGGAATTAGCGGATTCGTAAGGAACTGGGCATAGCCCCATTTTACTGTTACCATCATTTGGGACATAACAATTTTCATCAGACCTTCAGAAATACCAGCAACCATCTTCAGTAAACTCTCTGTGTTTCGTACAGCTGCATATTCTAATTTTTGTCATATATACTCTAAGACCAAAAAAAAAAGATGCACCATGAAGGAATAATGCAAATTGGACACTAATTGAT